TTGAGTAAGTGAAACTACATTAAATAGAGTTCTATGGAGTAGTTCAACAGACATCCTCAACTGATCTTTACTACACATCAATGTAACTACTCATTCTAACTATGTAACAGCTAGATGTTGAAATTCTCAACAAAAGATAAATCTTACCATATTATGATACTTTGTGTTGGTTTCACATGTGATTTTCTATATTTGAGCTTAGTGTGAGGGTGTGAGTGTGAGTCTCCAGTTGAATAAAACCCACACCCACACCCAAAACAAGCTAAATTGATAAATTTAGAGTTTGAGCACATTTTAAAACCAATGATTTCTAATGAGATAAAAAAATAGCCCAAAAAATCATACATATTAAAAACAAATGATGGTTATATATTCAAAGGAATGACATCACTACGGAATTCTCATGATAGATCAGGGAAATCTGCCTGTTTTGAAGTAGATCGATTGAAGAGATATATCTCTTTCATCTTAGTAATAGTTAATTTGTCTATATGTTAATATTGATATCAAATGACTGTGTTGAAGATTGACGTAATCAATATTTGTTCTCTATTTTTGTTTGGCACAGGAATTGTTTTTGTTAAGATCAATCTCGAACTGAAAACGCTGATTCATAGATAGAATATGGCTCTCGAAAATCAATTTACTACAAAAACGCACTCTGTCTTGTAAAAATGTTCATAATATTAAGAACTCTGCTGCTGTCACAGGGCAGCTAGAAATTTGCTTGGATATTTGGTAAGATAGACAAGAAAGTCTATTTCAAAACTGGTATTATTAATTAAATACTGAATAATTTTCAGTTTCCATTGATTATTGCTGTACCAATAGCGGTATCATTCCAAATTATCCAGTGTCATGAATTATGATAAAAGTTAAAACATAATAAATAATATATTTTACTGATAAAATTCAGATGTGATAAAATCTTTCAAAAGTTCCGCAGATAGAGAAACCAGAAAAAACTTACATGAAAATTCTTTACTTTTTACTAACACTCATTAAGTATTATAAAGACGTTTTTATACTTGAACAAATGAAACAAGCCGCTGCTCGTGTCAAGTTTCTTCTGCTACTTTTTACCTTTTATGTAAAAAAAATGTTTAGACTTGTTGACTTCGGTCAACAATAAATTGTTATGCATTAGAAAAATACATAGCTTGGATTATTCAGTCTTACTCAAAATCAATTCAACATTTCCCATATGATCTTATCTAAGAAGTTTGCTAATGAATTAAATGAGCTGTATCCTATAGTGTGTAAAATTTCGATCTCGCTTGAAAATTTCCTAATCAACATAAAAGAAAGAGAAGACAAAGTTGTTGCGAGTGTGATCAGCACATATATTGATTATCGTAAGGCTAAAATAAATATACAACGTTCGAGAATAAACAGATAATCTAAGAACATATTCATACTATCAGTAAGGCGTACAATAATTCAGTAATGAAAAGAGAGATAGAGTTCTCGTTGCTGCGTAAATTTGTACAAGAAAGATAAAAAATCAAAAGTACTATAAAAGATATATAGTTTAAATAAGATAAAACGAATGAAATAGAAGGAAAGATAATGAAGTAAAATTAAAGTTCCATTGCATGCATCATCTGAGTGATTTTGTCGACGATATACTAACGTAGTAAAGAAAAGAAGTAAATTAATAATTAGAAAAAATTAAAAATAAAGAAATAACGTACTCGAGCCTCGCCAGCATTCCGATAGGAGACCGTTTTTTCATGCGATTTGTCTGTCTTGATTAGTCCAAGCACTTTTGGCTCCTGGAAAAGAAGAACAAGAAACTGTATTTTGATCCTTTCGAACAATAAATCAAAATCTTCCATATTTTGTTGTTATCCATATTGACAATTTTGATTAGTAGCGATAAATATGAACATTGAGCTTACTTTGAAAATAATTTGAATTTCGTTTGGTTGGAATTTAACAACAGGTGGCCCTTTCAATTCCTTGTACTGATAATCCCATTCAACTTCATAGGTATTAGATGAGCTGCTTTTTCCAGTTAAAAATAACAATCGTCTAAAAAGTTGATAAATAATTGTTTTTCAAAAATGACAGGTTATATGTACTTCGAAGTAGCAAGAAGCCAAGTAGGAGGATCTTCAGAGCAATCAATGTGCGCAATATAACCATCGGATTTTGAGTGCTTTTCATCGTCAAGTGTCTGATAAATGGAAAAAAAAAAGGTTCAAATTGGATATAAACTTTGTTAGACACTAACATCCAAAATATAAAATCCTCTTATTTCATGAGCAGTAGAAGGTCGAATAATGCCATCTCGACCAACGTGACGTGGACTTCGAACACGATGAACAACTTCTTCATGCACGGCCACTCTGCAAAAAATACAAAAATAAATTATTCGAAAGATCTAAATAATAATGAAGATCACTAACCGTTTGATCAAATCGAACGATGTACTAGTAAAATCAGCAATACCACTTGCTGGTCGTGCGATTAGTCCAAGAAAACCTTTACCTAAGCCTGTTATAAAACCTGGTGTACCTCTTTTTTTGGCACCGGCCACTGGCTTCTTCACTACACCTTTAACGCCATGAGTAATATCCTTTAAAAACAAAACACAAGCATTTATAGTATAATAATGCACCATTTGCAAACCTTGCCAACATTTTTTCCACTTAGAACAATATCAGATACTGTATGTCCAGCAACTTCTTTACGTGCTATTCGAGCATTTTGGTAATCTTCATCGAATGTTAATGTTGCCAAACCTTTGCTAGCTACACTAGTAATCTTTGAAACAGCACCAGCAGCACCGCCTACGGCAGAACCAAGCAAATGTCGAGTACCGATTGCTATTCCTTCAATGAATTGTATTGGGCCTTCCATAGCACCCTGAAAGAAATATTCAGTTCAACTAAAAGAAAAAAGAGTTGTTCAACACTTACCTTGTATGGTTCATAAAAGAATGATCCAACACCTTCAGCAACTCCAAGTATAAGACCGAATGGATTTCCAAGTACGTCCAGACCGAGAACTACTACATGAATTTGTCTCATCAATTGATTTTGATAATGATTCTCAATTTCTTCAACCAATTTTGCTATCGTAAATTGATCATTCTTTCGTTCGTAGCAGTTTAATCTACATTGTAGTAGATCGAAATAGAATTGATTTATTCGTAAATATATATACATACTTTAAAATGACATCTTGTACTTCTGCTACATTCAATGTCTGTAGCAAGAAATCAACCAATGGATATTCAGCTAGTAATTGTTCATGTGAACCCCAGCCATGCATTGAAAAGCTGACGTGAATCTGTCAAGTGAAACGAATTGACTATGAAATATAGAAGTCAAGAGCAAACGATAAAAAGATTCTTTCTCATTCAACGAAAAATTAATCTCATATTTGCTATTAAAAGTTGATGTTCGAGAGTTTTTAGCCCTATCTGCTAGCGTGTAGGAAATACCAAAAGACAATAAAATCATGCTGTTACATTGTACTACTACTATTCATGGTTGCAGTGCATCGTATCATGAATGATTTCTGGATCATTAATATATTTATACAATAGACAACCAAAATAATTCGACAAACATGATATACAATATGTGTACATCAAGAACAGGAGTACTAAGGAGCATCTGAGGATAGACTAGAATATTTCATGTCCATGCATTGTAGAACTATTAGTTTTTTTTCTATGACCGAGAAAAATTCAAAAGGTTCAGTAGATATCTAATGAAACGAGCTAAACTGGATTGAATTGTAAAAATACCAATAGCTGGCTGTATTTTTTAAAAGAAAGATGAAAAGATTGTATGAACGTTAGAATGATTCTTTCATCATGTTAGAACATAATATGAAAAAAGATCTGCATAAAAAATGTTTCCATTGCAAAATTTGACACTAAAAGGCATCTCAAGGTAATGAATTCTAACATCGACAGAGAATCATAAGTGTCTCGGTCAGCTTTTGATAAAAATTTACCTCTCAGTTTTTCACTTCCATATAACTATGAAATGAAAGTATATGTATTGCTCAGTTGTAACTTTCATTCAGATGATATGTTTTCGTACTATCATTCTCAATAAATAAGTTATTAGCTGTTTAGTTCATCTACAGTGACTTTGGAAAAGCTCTAAGTCCCATTGAAAATTCTTTTTATGTAAAATTTCAAGTCAAAATTCGAAATTTTGAAATTTCAAATTCAAGTTTATATGAAAAAGTTCATGACTTATTTCAAATTCATTCAATATTCAATATTTCAAGAGCAAAATCTAAGACAACTTAAACATTACAAACATTTTAATCATTTATAAACACTAACAAGGTGAACATGGTCTCGATTAAAAATTGACTTAGTAATGTTGAAATATTTTCTGTGAAAAATAAGCGACGGAAATCGCTTACCTTGAGTGGAGACAAATGCATGTTGTCAAAGTATAGTTTGGGTTCAGCTGGTAGACTATTTGATTGAGCTTCGGTAATTGCTTGCAGTGGCTTATGAATACGCTTCAGATCTGAGTCCATGTTAATTGTAGGCGCTGCTGCAACCTATGAATTTCAGATCAGTGTTAGAGATATAAGGAAATGAAACAGAAGAATAAACCTTTTCCGATTTTACGAATGTAAGAATCGACATAATTAAAGTTTGATCAGCACAAAAAACAAATTCTTGAACAAGCAATTTTAAGTATCTGAACGACGATACAATTCATTTCATGGGAAAATCATTGGCTGATCTATGACTTACTTAATATGTGTCGTATTCGATCGAGCTATTGTTGTTTTGAATAGACTTAATTCAATGAATGGTTTTCCAGCTATAGAAAAACAAAGTTCTTGTCGTAATATGACTATTTATGGAAATGAAACATACGTATATCGGTGCCTGCTGCTTTAGAAACAATTGAATTAAGAACAACTGGAAATAAAGTGAATTCATGTTCATTATCAATTTGTACACGATTGATGCGCAGATGAAGAGCAGAATTGCTTGTCGACCAAGCAAATCCAACCCAGAGTCCATCAAGTGGTTGTCGTTTAATACGTACTAGATGATCTTGATGATCGGTCAATTCGGCAGTATCTTCATCGAAAGAAACATCCTAGGTGCCGATCAATTAATATGCTATTATATTATCAGACGAGAAAGTCTTACGCGATTTTCATCAATACGATATTTCTTGCTTGCAAATTTTTCATCATTCGGATGAGCATTGTGATCTTTGATGTATGATTCGTATTGCTCATCCACATGTTTATTGAGATCATACGAAAGTGGTTTCATATGAGACTTGCTGCTCTCCATCCAGATATCTTTAGATTTACTTATACTAATATAAAACAAATCGTTTCGAGCGATATCATCGATTATCGCTATGCCAATATCACGAATGCCAACTTGTATATGTTGTTTCATTGATTCTCCTAATGATGGCATCTGAAGTGAAAACCACATATATATTATATTGTAGAATAAATATATATTCAACGCACATTTGTAACAGCTTTAATAAGATCTGTTTCTTCAGAGAAAAGTAATACTGTTTGAGGACCATCTTGAAATACGGCATAGTATACAGGTTGTAGATCTTTTGCTTCAAGAACACCACAAAGTGACTAAAAAGCGAATAAATCATGTCAGGCATTGAATAGCTTTTAAGAACAACATTCAGCTTTAGAAAATGTTAGGTTGACATTTTGTTCGTAGATAATGTACAGTATACCAAGAAGATCTGCACTTTTTTCTAGCTAGAAGAGCAATGTTTGGGTCGTGCATCTATCTAAGATTTCTTAAAACTCAAAGACACTTGATCATAAGTATTACTGACGTGGCTTTGTTTTCGTTGCCTATTTTAAAGATTTCTAAAATAATCTTTACACAGATTGACTTACGTTAAGTTCTATTGATACACTTTGATCATGACACGCGACAACTAATGTTCGCGGTTTTAATGGGTTGACCCACGTATAATAAACATAGTGTAATGGTGGCAAGACTTGCGTTCGTCTATTTTAAGAAATTGGTTTCTTTTAGAAAAAAAAAGAAATGAAACACTTACATATCAGTTGCTTGACAGAATCCAATCGGTAAATATTTCAAACAGTTGACCAGTAAGACAGGCGCATCTCCGATCTTGTAATCGCCAAAAACGACACGAAATCCATCAAAATCAGTTGCAATAACTTCAACTTGAAGTGCTGGACGCTCTTCGTCATTCATATACAACAATGTTCGATGTTTTTGAGTGAATGAGAATGCAGTTGATGATATTCGATTATGCGTATAACGAACACACATAACAGCTCCTTCCATATTACGTGGCCAAAACGGAATAATCTGTTACATGAATATCCGTGGAGAATGATAAATACTTCACTGAAGAGAAACTTACTTCTTCAGGCTTTACTGATCTCCATTGTTCCTCTTCTGTGTCCGATTGTGCTTCAGTAACTTCAATTTCAATCTAGATATTGAAAAGTAAGAAAAGATATGTATCATAGAGAAAAAATGGATTATACAGTTGATTTATTGATGACAACCGTAGATGGGGCCAGTGTAAGAATTTTTGTCATACCAAATGAAGAAGTCACGATATCAATACAGATCTATTATTTCGTAGTTCGAAAAAAAAAACTTTTCAAAATGATTTTCAATGAATTTTTTTACCATATATGTTCTATCATTAGCTACTTTGCAACTAGCCATTCCTGTACTTTTAATTACATCAAGTGAAAAGCCTTCAGACCATTCTGACATTGCATCATCTTGTTCTTTGCTGAAAAGACGTATATGACCCTAGAATATCGAAATAACTGCTACTGATTTTGCGTTTGAAATTGTTTAATTAATTTACTTTTTTCTTTTTACTATCAAAATTGGTTGGACACACGAAAAAGGGTGGATCAACAATCTCGATCAGTGTCTTTTCGTCTTCAATCTAAACGAAGGAAAATAGTAGCTCGAATAAATAAGACATTGACATACTTTAAATTCAAACTTCAAATCAGTACAATTGATAATCCAATATGGAGAATAGAGAGAGGCACGATAAGATGCTCGATATGTATCGACACGCAAAAGCAATCTCTACAAGAATATTTGGCACAATTACAAAGTTTACCAATGAATCTAATTTCATACCAATGTTTCTTGCGTAGTAGCATTATGAAAAATAACAGGATGATCATTGTGACTATTGTTGCTTTTAATTTTCAAATCAACTGGTTCCGATATCCATTTAGCATCGTTATAACATGGAATCTTATGTATAAAATCATAAACAAGATCAGATATTGAAATGTGAGAATGTTGATAAATATTTCATATATTTTACAATATAATTAACCTTATTTGATACAGTATGGAAAGAATAGAAGAAGCTTTATCAGAATCCTAATTATAAAGTCGCCCTTCTCAAACTAGTGTAATTTTAGGCATGTATTTCTTAAAAAATTGAATAAATAAACATTGATTTGAATTGATTATAATAAATATATCCAACATTTCTTCAAATTTTCTTACATATTTTCTCATATAGTTATGTTAATCATAATTCAAAATGATGGATTTAGAAAGATGAAGTCGGTCGAGCAGTTCAAAATTTCATCCGATTGCAAGTCAAGAAATTAGCAAATGTTCTTTAAGTTAAAATGTACGCTATATATTTTTGGACATCTTGGGAACAAATTTTTATATAGGAGCTTATGGCGAACGAAATTTAGACTGATTGGTTCTTTTGTGGCTAACAGATTTCTAACAGAAAGGTCGTAAATCAAGAACTCTATTCAAGTTGTAGATATATACACATAGATCGCGAAGATTTGTTTTTCATGAACATTCAATATGGGTGAATAAGCCTATACAATAAGTACTTTGACAATACATAACAATTTGAAATCAGATTTCTGTCGTTAGTAAAAGAAACAAAATCCTTCTAGGCCACTTCCTGATTTTTCGATATTGAAGCATTGAAGCTGTGTTTCTTAGCAGTTGTAATGTGTCTACATGTCAGTATTGCTACTAATTGCATCCTTTTTTTAAATATTAACACCCTAGGGACAGTCGGAAGTATGATGTTAATCGAGCAAGTATTGAAGGTTTCCTTCGAAGCTGTCTTTTGTTCTTGAATATTTTTTTGATTTATATCGTCTTTAAGATGTATTTTTTGTGACGTTCCCATATAATTCTCATTACAAAATTTGTAGTTTGAAATCTTGATATGTTCTGATATTAAGATCGACATTCATGTGAGAAAATTTCGGACACAATATTCTACTAAGCATCGTGGATTAGGCAATCAGATAAGATCTGAATCGAAAAAGTAACCAAAGCAAGAATCATTGGATATTTTCAAGCTAAGACAATACAGAAGAACTGTCACGAATCATGCGAAATGTTTTGAGATAGCAATATCTTGACTGCAGAAGTTAATTTGGGTAGATATTAAACACCTAAGAAAAAATCTTTTATAAAAGAACGTACCACAAATGTTAACACGGATTTTTTGCTACCCGATACGCTATGATACAGGCGGCTTGGTTTCAGTTCGACTTGTTCGACACTCTAAATGTAAGATAGACAATTAAAAATATGTGCACACAAAAATAAATTGATGATTGTTGAGAAAATCTAATTTTCATCTAGCAATGATCGTTTTATTTGATGCTTGAAATTTCGTTCTCTCACAATTCTTTCTTCACAAATTATTCCAATTATATTTCATCTTAAATTTTTGCTAAGATCAACTTCTATTTATTTATGATAGGCATTGTATAAGTATTTACTGTCGTGTCAAGCTAACTATCTCGACTTAAAAAGACTAACGAACAATGAATATATTTTTTTTTTTATCTATTCAACATATTTAATCAAGATTAGTTTCCTCTAGCATGTCACCACACATGTATTCCTAGCTATTGTGGTCTCGAGCAAATTCACACAATATAGAATAAAACTAATTGGTGAATACAAGAAAAGTATTGAAGAACGTTCGAGGAAATCCAATAACAGAAGATAAATCGGTATTTTATTGTAAAAATCAAAACTCTAGAAATATGTATAACTCATTAATTCTAATCTTTGAATTTTGCCTGTTTTTATTATTTTAGTCATCATCAAACGAATATCAAGATTGAAGTATTGATTAAAGAACTATCTGAACATTTTCATATATCTGATACAAATCAACTTCACATTCCTTGACTTAAAAATAAAATTAAACACAGGAATAAGGCATCAAATGAAAAATGTACTATGATATTATTCAATTTATTGCTGTCGACATGCTACTGCTAGTTTACTGATAAGCAAAGCATTACTACTAATAATTGATCATGAGCGATGAGTGATGTCATTTGATCAAAATGATTATTTTCATTTTGGTATTACGTGAAACGAATACAAGTCAAGACTGTTCGTTTTGAGAATGATTCTATGATCATTATTATATGTGATTTAAATATGACAATTTTAAAAGAATGTAAATTCTGGCTTCTGAACGAAATTTTCAATGTATGCCTGCCTCTTTTTTTTTCATCTTCAACAGATAAAATTCATTTATTCAGACATGTCCAAGAACTGATAATCAGCTGCTCATAGTTCAATGTATGTATTCATCTCAAGTTATTTCGTTTGTGTATACTTTTGAACAAATATTGAACTAGTAGTATGATTATGAACCTGAATTTATACTCGTTAATTTTGAAAGTACCAAAGCAATTTTTTTTCGATACCATTCGAAAAAGTATTTTTTATACGACTTTTATTGGTCAGCTTAGTAATTACTCTTGCTATGAATGTAGGATGTTTATTTCATGTTGGACAGTATTTATAGCGAGAATTACAGTCATAAAGACTTCGAAATAATTACACTAATAATAATAACTTTTGGTGGAACCTAAGACTATTTTTCAATTGTGAAAGAATCCATTAACGTGTCTTGTTCCTGCATTTAGTGATGTAAAACTATAATTTAAGGGAGGCAAAGCAAAGTTTAGTTCGCATTTATAAAATGTCTATAAAACAGTTCTATAAGACTTGCTGTGATCAAATATTGTTGTCCGAGGTTGACATAATGCTTTTAGCAACCATATATCAATGAAATACTCTTCGATTGTCAAATTCGCTAAATGTATCTTACGTAAANATCCATTAACGTGTCTTGTTCCTGCATTTAGTGATGTAAAACTATAATTTAAGGGAGGCAAAGCAAAGTTTAGTTCGCATTTATAAAATGTCTATAAAACAGTTCTATAAGACTTGCTGTGATCAAATATTGTTGTCCGAGGTTGACATAATGCTTTTAGCAACCATATATCAATGAAATACTCTTCGATTGTCAAATTCGCTAAATGTATCTTACGTAAATAATCTAGATTTGAAATTGACATCCAATAAAATCGCGCAAGTAATTGGTCAAAAAACTAGTTCATGGGTAAAATTCAGAGCAAAAAGAAAAACCTGTTTTACTTACGTCAATCCAACACTCTATATCAAGCGATAAAAGATTAATGAGATGAAGAGCCAGTTTGACGTAGACATGAAATGAAGTTCGAATAGGTTCATCAGTATTTTCTGAATAAGCTTCCTTGGATTCTTTGTAGAACTAAAAAAGAATAGTCTTGTAAAACCAAGATTACACTGTTTGACAATTAAACAACATACAACAAGATTAGCATCTTTGCCATTTTTCATCTTCAATACACGATCAGCAGAAGACTCAATTGCCCAGTCGAATGAAATAAAATCCTGAACTCCATTGGTAGACTTAGCTCTTTACAAAATCTATCATTATGCATAGAAAGATAAGAGAATAGAATCTTACTCTTCGATACTAATAAATAAACGTGAATTCATGCGCACATAAACTAGTTCAAGTGGAAGATACAACTCTCCATTGGCTTCGACACGAGCTACTTCACGATATGTTCCCAGTTCAACTGAATCAATATCCAAAATCATCACTGGCATTGTAGCTCTGTTGAATATCTTAAGAAAGTAAAATAACAGTGAAACAAGTCAATAGTAAATTCAAGAAATCAAGTTTACTTTGATGATTGAACTTAGAACTATTCGTCGACGATCATTGTATATTTGAGAATCACAAAGCAATTGAATAGGCCAATCTGGAATAGGTGATGGACCCAAATCAAATATTCGTCTCCATGTTTGATTGATATCTAGTGTTTTGACTTGATTGGTGATCTAAGTAGTACACATATTTCAATAGAATCTCATTATAAATGTGAAACTGTATTACTATAACAGAAAATTCTTGTCTTCTATTAGAGATTTGTTCAGAAATAGCTGGAATTCGTGTCGCCGATAATCGTTCATCAGGTACTGTCAATGGAATTGAATCATGATTTTTGAGATGAATTGGAGTATCTAATTTCTTATCTTCGAGAAACTTCGAAATAAAATACATAAGAATGATTATCATTCAATGTAAAACTCGATCGATTGATCTACCTTAATTCCGCTTAAATTATCAATGTAAATATCATATCCTGTCATATTGTGTATTGATAACATTGATCGATCATTATCATCTTCATTCCAGGGCGATTGTTTATTATAAGCATCTTTAATCATAGTGGAAAGACGTTGCACAAGACTCAGCATCGTCTTTGTTATGGTGACGTTGAGCAAATGATCAGCTCGAACATAAATAACCTGTTTAGCATCCAAACTCACACTATCATCTTTTGGTTTTTGTTCAATATTCGAAGATGATTTTGGGTCATCAAGCAAGAATCGTGACTGAAATAGTATCGATAGAATAATAAAATATCTGAACACAGTTAATCATCTATCTGTGTTTCCAACGGTGGAAGACGAACGAACTTCAATAAGAATTGTTCTTCGTATGTTTCTCTACATAACATAGTTGCATATTGTCTGAAAAGTTTTATTTTTTGAACAGCTATGAAAATTATCATGTATTCCCTAGACTGAAAGGATAGGGTCTAGAAACCGTAATTCACCTGTGTCTGTCTGTCTGCCTGTAACAGTGGTACAATTGACCATATTTATGGCACAAATGACCATTTTTGTGGCACAATTGACCATTTCCATGGCACAAATGACCTTTTTTTTTGTACAAATGATGATTTCTATGGCACAATTGACCATTTTTGTTGCCTAGACTGAAAGAATAGGGTCTAGAAACGCAAATTCGCCTATGTCTGTCTGTCTGTCTGTAACACTTGGTACAAATGACCATCTTCATGGTACAAAGTACAATAGTAATGGTAAAAGTGGCCATTTCTATGGTACGAAGTACCATAGTGATGGTACAAAGTACCATGGTGATGGTACAAGTGACCATTTTTATGGTACTTTGTACCATAGTGACCATGTCTGTGTCACAATTGGTCATGCCCCTATTAGAAATGACCGTTTCTTTGGCATAAATCACCATTTTAGTCGTTATAATTATTTAAAACATAAACTTTATCATATACATTAGCATTTTTCAATATTTTATGTGAACTGTTTGAATATAGCTATAGTATGTAATATGGAGCATGTTACAAATATTAATAATTTCTTCTAAACTCATCATTATACAGAATTCATTTTTATTTAAANAATTGGTCATGCCCCTATTAGAAATGACCGTTTCTTTGGCATAAATCACCATTTTAGTCGTTATAATTATTTAAAACATAAACTTTATCATATACATTAGCATTTTTCAATATTTTATGTGAACTGTTTGAATATAGCTATAGTATGTAATATGGAGCATGTTGCAAATATTAATAATTTCTTCTAAACTCATCATTATACAGAATTCATTTTTATTTAAAAATGAAATGACATCTATGTTATCACTCCGTCAGTCTAGGGCCGAGTGAATCGACATTCAATATCGATGAAAGTTACTTGTCAACTCAAAGTGGATCTATATGAATACTATTTTATTCCCCTGCGTTCCTTCCATTACAAAAAAGTTACTTTAAATTCAAAAGTAATTTTATCAAAATGAATGTGACTGGACTAAAACAGTTCGTAGAACTATATTTTTCATATCATATTTCAAGTAGTAGATAGTCAAGATAAGTTGTAACTTATATGATTGACACGTAGAATTTCAGTAACCTATAACCGGTTTTAATATTAAAAGAAGTTTTCTAGGTGACACTTAGGCTGAATTAATACATATTTCGACTAATATGCAGTACAGCATTGAGCAACTTTTATTGTATAACATAAGTATAGAGCATAATAAAGTGTCCTACTCAAATATTGTTTAGGTCTATTTCCAGTTTTTCTAGCCAAGCGGCAACATAAAGTTGCAAGTTCCTCATATACTCCGTCGTTATCATCATCAGAAACGTAATAATCATATTGATAATATCTAAGATGCTAACGAAACAGAAATAAATTATCTATTGTTTTTTCAATAGTTTCTTTCGCGATTATTCTTTTTTTGAACCTTCTGACTCTTTCATTGACAAGAAAACTCATTTTAGAAGCAAACTTGACTTTTTTTCACAAACTAACTAAATTCTTTATCGAATAAGTTTAGAACACAGCTGTTGAAGTATTATTCTATTTTTGAATGATAAGATAATAACACTCAACTATAGACTTCGATCAGCAAAAAAAGACCAAGAAATGCAGCTTATTCATGTTTTTATTTACCTCATCGTCATTTTCTTCGTCTTCTTCATGCTATGAAAAGAAAAAGAATAATATATTTTTAAAAAAGTCAGATGAGTCATTAAGCTTACACTTGAGGTCGAACATGTAATACACCATGGACATACAACTTCACCACGTTCATTAATAACTGGTTCAATAAGTGGCTCCCATGCCAATAAATTATCATTGAATAAGGCTAATTCAACATGGATTTTAGACGAAATACTTATCTGAATAGAGAAAAAAAGAGATGTGAAATAATATCCAATTAGATTTATAGACATACATCACTGGACCAATTTTTCACATCAACAAACATATTAGAAAGGCACATAGCTATCACTGGTTTAGTCGATGAGCCTGTGCCAAGTTCAAGTTTAATTTCGATTATTTTCAAATTCAAAATAAGCTAAAAATAAAAATATCGAATTAGATTGAATTTCTGAGTTTTTTATTTCCAAACTTCTTGAGAGAGAATATTTTGAGTTTGAATTTTCTCTTCTTCTTTCTTCTCATTATTTGCTTCTTCAATTGCGGCTTTCTTATGTGAAGGAGTACCAGTGGTTAATTCCAAAACATCTGTCTGCTCGATTAATTCTTGTTTCTCTTCATAATCTTTAAAAAGTAAAAGTATAGGATAGGAAAAAATAAACTAAAAAATTGCTCTGATTTATTCAACAAACCTTTAATAAACCAAAAGCTTGCATCTTTGAATGGTTTTGTATCAAAGATTCCTTTCGAATTAATTTTTTCCGTTTCATTTCGAATGGGAGTCTGAAAAAGAATACTTATATATAAGGAAATAACAATGTGTACTCTATTACTTCAAGCTTGCCCATTGATTTTATCAAACTAAGAACTGTACGAACTGCTGCTGGAGAGATTTGAATGGTAATATCTCCAATACGTACATCGATATTTTGCTGTTCCAAGTTCATAATCAAAATGGCATCGATATCGACCGGTTGCAAAATCTTTGAATACAGAGAGATAGAAAGTAATATAAACGAAAGAGATATTGTTCATACGCGATATTTGACTTTCGAAGTTTTCAATTCAGCAAAATTTGAACCGTAAATAGTCAAATCTTTCAGCAAGCCATCCATTTTCGTATTATCACCCACAATTTTAATATGTATTTGAGAGGCAAACTGAACAAATACCATATTCACAAAGTTATCTTTCTTTTGAAAATATTTTCGTTTTTTTCACTTACACTAAGTACAAGACAGTTCGAATTATTATTATGTTGATCTTCAAGTAAAATAATTTCTGGGCTTTTAATTACGATATTAATGTTACTATGAAGATAATCACCAGCTTCGGGGGATGCATCTTGGGTCGTAGCTAAAATAGATTATTCAGGTTTGATGAGAAGAAAAAAAAAACGAAGAGAAAATATACAGAGAGTCTCGGACGGTCTCTTAGGTGAACGTAATGTAGATTCTAATGCACCACTGAATGATCGATTCGATCGACGGAATGTTGATATGGGTTTTGCTGGTAGTGGCATATCATAATCAATATCAGACGATGTTTCTGAATACATAATTGATGGATGCGGTTTCTTCTCATCACTTAATGACAGACTCGAGATGAAAAAGTCATATAATGCCATAAAATAGTCTGAACTCATACAAATATAAAAACTTTCAAGTTGAGCATTGACTAATAAGAAAATAAATGGTCATAATAGTAAACATTTTCAACTCCGTTTACCTACCTTGTCGAACACCACTAGATTGTTGTTCATTTTCTTTTTTAAATTCGAGAGTAACTGTGAACATAGATGCATTTGGATCGACATTGAAGTTTCGATCGATCATACGTGTAATACTATTAGATTTATTTGTTTCGCGTAGATCATCTAATAAGAGCGTTTGTATTTGTGCTTTACCATCGTAACTCGAATCGGACAATTGTCGAAAGTGAGCTTTGAGCGTTTCAAGTCTCAAATCAAGAAATTTTAAATTTTCATTACGTGATGCGTGTCGAGTGATCAATTTTGATTCACTCAGATAGAGTGTTATAGCAATCGTCTTTATTTCAGCGTTGAAATGAATTTTTTCCGAGATTTGATTAGTATTTAAATTTTCTTGATTTTTGTTTGTGACAGTGACATTGTTTTGACTCGTTTGCCTATATTCAGTTTTTTCTTGAACAGCAGGCTTCGGTATCTTGTGGTAAATCTTTTCTGAAAAGTTTTCCTTAAATATTTTCATTATACATGCATAGTCATCTTTTGCTAGTGTAAATTGAATAATATCCCAATTGGCTACAATAGAAATCTGTGGTTCATTCTGGATCTTGTCCGGATATAACAGACGATCGATTAATGTACTGAGTTCAGCACATTTAAATAGACTAATGTCACCGCGTGTTTCATTGTTTTTGCCGAGTTGAACTCGGCTTGCTAATAAATTTTTCATGATGACTACTTGTTGCTCGACAGATGAACGCTTTGGATTATCGGTAAAATGTGTTTCTGCCGTTAATAGACCCAAATCAATAAAGAGTCCTTCGTTCGAATAAGAACTTGTTGGAACAAGTATGCTCGGTGCATCGAGTGTTACATCGAGACGAAGTTTGCGTGCTTGATTTTGAAATTTGTCCATTGTTTCAGAGACAGCAGTTGGCTCGTTTGAAGAAACGTCACGTTCAGTTTTCTTTATTTTCAATAAATTGACTAGGTTCAAAATGAGGTCTACATGCTTGTAGAGGAGGACTATATTTACTTTAGTCAATTGTATTTTGATTTCACAATCGATATCGTCAAGTGTTTTTTCGTAATTTTTTGGATAATTGAAGAGAGTAAAATCAACGCGTAACAGTTGTTTATCAGTGCTTCGTTGCGAGATAATATGACGATAGCGTGCTTTTGGATTAGGATCAAAGGCACGCAAATCAGTAAGAATCAAATGGGCTGATGTTTTTTCGACCGAATTCAATATATGGGCACGAAGGCCTTGACTTTGAATATCAATTATTTGAAAGAATTCGAGTCCAATTATTGCACGTAATCCTTCTAGATGAGCCTCGATTTGAAACGTCGGCATTCCTGATGCCGGATCCTTCTTTACGACATGTTTCGGATTCCCTTTCGATGCAGTTCGTCTTTTTGTCACTTTTTTGTCCGATAAAAGATGTTGTTCGTTCGATATCTTTTCCATGATATCATTTTTAAATCTAATAATGGACAGAAGTGCTTCCAATTGTAGCATCAGAACAGGTTTGCCAATATGTACACGTATCTGATTTTCGATTGCATAGTAAGGAGCAGATGCAAAATTCGGATTTACAGGTGATGTCAATAAGCCACTGATACTAATTAGTGTGCCATTTTCTCGGTCGCGAAGTCTTTCCATAGCAATTAAACAAAGTCGATCATTATTATTAGTAACAAATTGTTCATGAACAATACTAAAATCTGCAAGAGATGCATTGAAGTCGATGTCGAATGTTTTCATTGTAGCTCGAGCAATCATTGATAAAAGTGTAATACGAACAAATGGTTGACTATCGTTCGATGAATCCGATAGAGACTCTTCGATGAGTAGATGAATCTATAGATAACTCTAAATTATATAAAACTTCATATATACTTAACTTACTCGTGGAAGTTCAAAAGTAGCTTCAAGTTCTATTATTTGCTCTTGTAAATCGACTTTTTTCTTGACGATCTCTGCTGGCGTCTGCTCATTTGTTTTATCTTCCGCTTCGGCACTAGCTGCTTCTTGCAAGATTTTTTGTACTGGTGTCATACTTTCCACTGCTTCCAATGTTTTTTTCGTGTTTCGACGAGGCACAGTGACTTCAAACGTTGTTGACTGTTACAATTCGACCAGCATAAATGATATCAAATTGATAATAAAAAGAAAAAGACATTTGCTAACCTCTACAAGTATTTCAGTTTCTACTTCTTCTTCTTTTGATTCAGGAAGTGGTATGGATTGAAAAAGTTTGATAATTTCGAAAATATGTGTATCATACAATCGACCATCAATAGCTGAAATTTGTACATCGATCTTCCAACTAATACCATAAGAATCAAAAAAAAAGTTTTTCAAAATTATTGAGAAAAATAATTGACAACAGAATTCTAACAATTCTGTTTCTAACACCTTTTACATACTTAGGAAAACTAGATGAGTCATTTCAAAGTTTTATTTCTGCAGCAAGGCAATCCCCACTTGCCTGTGAGACATAATTCTATCAGACAACTCATATTCCATAAGAGATACTTTAGAAGAGAACTTCTCTAAATTGCCATTGTTCTTTGAGGCTACAATAAGACATGAGTTTACAAGTGCCGTGCTCCGACAGCTATACTTATGGAAGGAAGTTTGTGTTAGAACAATTTTTTTCGTTAATTAATAGAAATACGCATAGTCTTGCGCTTTTCATTGATTTGTGTTCCTTTTGTACAAAGCGAGTATTTACTTTCTCTGAAAAGTTCTAATCTTGAGAGTGGATTTTTATTCTATAGGAGGGGGAGTACTCTAACAAATGTCTTTCAATGTCATTAAAGTGCTTCACATTTTAATCACCAAGAAATTATATTGAAAGGTTTTTAAGCATGAAAAAAAAGAATTACAATAAGTTTTTAAGCATAAAATGCTTCAAACGTCTGAAAAAAACCGAAAAGTAAGATGGAGTACATGTCAGCCCGACAAAACGCTTCAAGTACGAAGAAATTGAGAAGAAAACTTGAAAACTGAAAGTAGTGCAAAAAATAAAGTGATGTCCATGGCTTATATTGACAAAAGATTGCTTTTTGAACTAACATCAGCAATTTCAATAAAAACTTGTAAACGAAGTCTCAATTTTTATATCGGAAAATTCGAAATATACTGAATACCTAAACATGTATCTATGGCATAATTATATGTCATACTCAACAAGCATACTGTGAAGAATATAACGAAAAAAGTAAGCCTGTAATGTATTATGGTTCATAAATGATTGCAGTTCTTTCTTGAAATTGAATGTATTACTTCAAAAATAGCTTTTCTTAACACGTTTTCGTCGGCATAAAAATCATGAACACTGTATTAGTAGTAAAAAAAAAAAATGAATCCATCTAATCGAAATTTTACGAAATATCTCATTTTTCTTCAGTATATTGACTTGTGACGGATTCTGTCTTTGTACGTATTATTCGGTATTTGAAGTGTTTAAAAATTTGAAAAATAGTTTATCATTCGATTTTTGTCTCCTTAGTTTTACTGTTCCTGTTCCAGACTGCTGTCTTTGTGTTCATTTTAGGTTTTGAACATTTAAAATTTCTGAGATCTTCTCGGTCTCATTCATTATGTTGAATTCGTACAACTTTTACAGATTGTCATCTGGATTAATCCAGATGAATCTGATTTGAGTTTATAAAAGTCTCAAAATTCGAAAATTCGTTCTGTCACCGGAAACAACACATTTCATGTTGGTTGAAATTTTCAGCAAATTCTGAGATTTGCATAGAAATCTTGAAAAAACAAAGAAAATTCTCGTAATTAGAACTGTTTTCAAAATCAAGTTATGAATGCTGATACAAGGAGTCTTTGAAATCTTTATTAAACCTAGAGATATTCCTGTCTTCGATTTGTAATTTCTGATAGACTAATGCATATTGTAACATATTTGAAATTCATTCAAAATCAAAAGCTCACAAGCAAATTCTTCATTGAATTTTGTTATAAAATATGAAAATGGAAAGGTTACCGAGTCAATTGAGAGATCAACAAGAAAAGACTATTCGAACTTAAAATGAGTTCTTGTCAGTTATTTCTAGCAAACGATTTTCGTTGATATAGTTGACTTATTAGAGAACTAATTAAGATTACGTACGCTGGTAATGCAGTATTTTCAGAATAAATACACTTGTGTATATTGACAAAAACTGTGATTGGCTTGATCAAATTCATCGGAGAATTGATGCCAATATCTACATTGAAATAGAGTAGTTGAATGTTTTCCAGTCTGAGTTTTAATGGAAAGTACGAAGATTCGTGAGCATCATCGATACTCTAGAAAAAAAATACAATATGATTAGAAAAAAAACTGCAGCTTTGTCCATACTTTAATATTTTCAGATGTTTTTCCTATTTCTATGTCCTTCTCACTGTAATTAGGACCACCTTTAAATGCAAAATGACCAAAATCCAAACAGAGTACTGAGCAACCACTAAAAGACAAAAACGAGAATGATTGCTTTCCAATTTAGACAATCTTTTTTTTTCCTACCATCGATAAACACCATTTTCTGGCAAGAGAAAAAAAGAAGGTTGAATATCAATATTTATGTCTGATGCTTGAATATTTTTCAAATAATGATTGAAAAGAAAATGTGCACGATATTTGATATCGTTAAATGTTGAATAAGCAATTTCTTTTATGCTGAAAAATTAGACAAAAATCATGCATGAATAAATACTAAATTGGCTGTTTTTACCCTTGTAAATCACGCTTTTTATCAGGCTGGAAACATTCGACAAGTTTGTTGATAGTAAACTAATTAAAAAGAAAAATACTGGAAGTTACGAAAGAAGGTTTGCTTTTTCTATTATCAATACCGCATCATAAGTGATCTCGAGCGATTGTAATATAACTTGTATACGATTTTCAGATGATTTATCCAATGGATTAGTTTCATATTCGATATGCAATAGATCTTTTTCTTTTAATTGTATTTCATTCGCCGGTTTAGCAAGAACGGGACGATTATCATTCGACTTCTCTATTTCGATTGTATCGGTAGTAACACCAAATACTTTGAATGAGCCCAAATCGATAACAAATCTAATAGAATTAAAATAATTCTTTAAAAAAATCATGAAATTATCAATATCTTACAGAAAACCTGATTTGGCTGGACACCGTTTGAATATCAAACAAACATCGGGTACAGCGGCAGAAGCAATTACTTTGAGTCTATAAGAAAAGAAACGAAGTACAATACGATCTTCCAACATCAATATTTCTCAATATGAACATCTTTATTTTGTATAATCGATTATTTTAATTCTCATTGAGCATTTTTTTTCTGGAAATAGACTTCTCTATAGTAGGTTTTTTTTCTGCTTGACTCGGTACTTGTCCTCGACTAAATTCATCAACATAAAGTTCAAATTAACATGATGAGCATAGTTTTTTCTCTTGAATATGCATACACTTATTATTTAATAAATAGAATGATGTAGCAAAGCATTTGCTCAATATGACCAGTGATCAGGCAGAAGAACTTTAATCAGAATCGATTATCAGTGATCATACTCAAGCGATTACAGTGATTGAAATGCTGAAAAACTTCAATTCTCAATCACGAAGTACTATTTCAAAGAAATAATAAAATTTTAAAACATAAGTATTAAGACTTGTTAACTCTATCTCTAACAAATAGGAACACCGTTTTGTGAAAGTGTGAATGCAGACCTCTGTATAGTACAAACTTTTGAATATCATCACAGATGTTCTCATTAGAAAGATTTTCTCTTAATCAAAATGCATTATTTACTGTGAATCGTTTTCGTTAATATTCGACCAGACGTTGATTTCAAGCATACTCAGTCGAATCGTCAGATCGATATCAACATACTAAAATCCAAACATTGATAATTCAATACTGTAGTTATAGAAAAGAGATGTTTACTTCTTCTGGATAAGCTAATGATGTATCATCTTCTGCATAGCCAATGGCATCGTACAATTTTTTCTTTTCGTCATCTACCGTTGCACTGTCAATATCGAGTTCTGCGAAAAGAAAAAGAACGCACATTTAGAAAAAACAACACACAGCTGAATAAACCTACCTGAAGTCTCTTTGTTCGACTCACCAGTCCACCAACTGGTCAATTTGTCCCACCAACCCTGTTCTTTTTGTTCAGCTTTCTTCTTTTTAATCTATAGAATATTGTTAAGAAAATCTATCGAATACAAACAAATTATTGTCTACCTCAATTTCAACAGTTCGACGAATAACAAGCAAATTGAATACATCGATCTTTCTTTCTAGTTCCTAAAATATGAATAGAGAAAAGAATTGTAACGATGACCACTAGATTGTATTACTTCAGCACGTTGTTTTTGCTGTTTGCTTGCATTACCAGTCAATACTTGAAAGTAAATGTCATGATACTCGCGAAATCGGTCAAGATTAGTCTTGATATTTTCCCATTTGTACGATGCAAGTCGCGGTCGAACTTCTTCATTTAAAATAGCAACATAGGCAAATTTCCATCTACGAAAAGTAAATCAATATTAAAATAAGAATATGTTTATTTTAATTTTTCAAATGTCTCACCGTCGGACACTTAGTTTATCTGTAGAATTATTGTCGATCATAGTATAATATTTAATATATTTCAATTCCAAATTGAGATGATCTTGAAATTCGAGTAGATCGAGTAGATCGCAATACTAAACAAATATTTTTATGAAATTTCATATTATTTATTTTTCTAACCTGATTACGATTGATATTTAAACTGATATAATCTAAATCGATTTTAGCATCAAATACTGGTCGTGCATAATCTTGCTCATGAGGTGTGGCAGCAATTTTTATTTTAACGCTTATATTTAGTGGTCGTAAAACTAAGAAAAATTTCATATTTGATCAAGAGAACATGATAATAACTCACTATAAGTCATGTGATCTGGTGCTGTATTCTCCTTCTTGACGATATTTGCTTGTAATTTGTCCTATAGTTGCCAGAAAATTAGAAATAATCAAAGAAAAATATATCTAGAACAACGTACGATAATGTTCTCCTGTGATAATTCTGACTGAGATTTAACATCAGATTTCCAATAAATGGACAAGGCATTCAGTTCTCCTAACTAAAGAGACCAAGAAAAATGTGATGCATTTATTTAGATACCAATAGTTTACTTTGTATATAATTGGTGACTCATCCTTCGATACCACAGGTACCCATTCATAATTAGTTGTCTATTTAAAAAAATACAATTAATTTTCACATAAGAAAATAGAATGGATGAAAGAAATTCATACGTAAAGTTTGATGTAGTTGAGTGTAATACCAAATGAAAATGGATGATCAGGTTTTGTTGTTTTATCTTCATAAGCAATATGAATATTGCTTATTGACAATGTTAGATTACGAAGAATATGTAATTGTAATCGTTCCAAAAATGTATCTTTGTGCTTGGACACCGTTTTGGAATTTTCTTAAATTTCAATATATTTAGTAAGAGAACAAAAAGAGAGCAACTCTTCGAAATGAACAAACTCATTGTTTTCGAATTCCAATATAAAATATTTTTCTTTTCTTACGCTTCGACTCGTGATAGTGACTCCACAAAACATATGATTAATTGTGAAAAAATCTAATTCATGCTAAGATATTCGAAAGGATCAATCATAAAATTTTCAAGCAATTTCACAGAGTTATTATTCTCATACACAAGAGAAAAAGATTTCAGTACATTTCCTACAGGATTTAAGTATGAAACATAACAAAACTGTTATACTCGCATTCTATTCCTTAACACTCATATTTAGCAATACGACCGTTTTAAAAATGACCGAAATTTCTTTGGATTGATCCTTATATTTTAAGACTCCCAAAGAACTGCTCATGTACTTTAATAATAGGTCTTAATCTCACCATATTCTTCTCTTTCTTTGCGAAATTGTTCAACTTTGTGTACTTCTTTCATTTTCTCATCATACTGTTTTTGTTCGTCCCGTTCAGGATCATAGTTGACATCTATACAAACATATAACAATGAAGTCAGTAGTAGAAAAACATACATTATATGATAACAAACCGGTTTTCGGTGTAAGAAGTAGATAGAAACCGTCGATGACGACTTCAGTCGGATGTGAATACAATTGTTTCCATGGAATGTGAAGTGACAATTTTTCTAAAATAGTTTATTCAATTTTTAGAATAAAAAACACTCGGAAATGACATACGGAGGTGACCAACAGCTACTGTAACAGGAAGATTGAAATTGGCCTGTTATCATGAAAATGAATATTTCGATGTAAATCTTATCTGTAAAGGCTTACTAGTGCGTTCGGTTTCAAAGACAAATTTTCGAGAACAACATCACCTAAAAACGAATATCACCGATGGATTTTAACTAATAACTAGACTTACCATGCCATAAATCAATTTTGAGTTGTTTCGAATCTAAATTTTCAATGTAGTCGCCCAAAAATTTATCGAGCAAGTAGGCGACTAAATGTGCGAAAACCATTTTGATGTTATTGTTGTGAAAATGGTATGTTGATAATCTAGAGAAGATTAGGAATATATTTATTGACATTGTCATATTTTGAATGGTTAGTCATCTTCAAAACAAATGACTATGAACGAATCTATAAATACTTCAGAATTCAAACTTGTAAGAAGAAAAGTAAAAGGATCGATTCTAAATTTTTCACACATGAATCTTAGAAGTTGGATACGAGTGACGATGCTTTGGCACTTGTTGCCGAGCAACATCACGAAAATTTCGTCTTCGTGAATCCAAATGTTAAAGATTCCAAGTGTACCTAACTCATCGTGACACTTTTTCATTGTACTAACTTCACATCAATCCGTTCAAATGGCATCAAAAGACGACCAGGAATGTCAATTTCCTATTAGTTAAGAGAAATTTAAATTAATTGCACTTTGTACCTCATTAAATGAATAATCAAATGAAATTATTCTATTTCTTCATGATAATTCATTCAAAAGATATATTCATTGAAACAACAAGTCGTGGACTGTTGAAGCATCCTATTCTTCATCAAAATGAGCTTTGCAAAGAAAATACAAAATAAAGTTTATAACACATTTTTCGAAAATTAGCCACTTTTCAAAATCATAATTATTGTTTAACCTAATGCTTGCAAAAACTTGTGGGTGAATAAAGTACTTATTTCAGGGTGAATGTTTGTTTTGAATAGCTTTTTTATGTTTTAATTGAAATGAACTATTTTTCTTTGAATAATTGAGAAAAGTCTAAGTTGTTATTTACAAGGACATATGTACTAATAAATTGTAAAAGCATGATTTGTAACATCCATATCCTTTAATTTATTTTCACAATTTTAGAAGTAAATGATGAAACATCTCTTTTATAAATGTTTTGATTTGTATCGATAGAAAAATCTAATGGCATTCATATCTTATCATTATACTGCAAACACTTGATTGCTCTGGTTAAAATGGTAGCATTGTCAGTACTTTTCCTAAAACAAATCTTTTCTGGTACGTTAAGCAATGAAATGATCGTGAGCTTGAGAAAAGACAAAATCTTTTCATAACCTTTACGTTTAATAATCCTCAAAACATTCTATATCAGTTTGTGAATCAATGTGAAAGCAAATATTTCATAATGACTTCCAAATTCGTCAAAACATCTTCAATGATGAAAGTAACAAATCATACTTTTATAATCTATTTAAAAAAATCTCATTGCAAATAATAACTTGAAAGTTTTCTCTGTCATTAAAAGGAAATAATTCATTCCAATTAAGACACAAAAAAAATATTCAATTCATTGAATAAGAATAAACATATGCATGAAAAGTATTGATCATAAATTTTTTCTAGTAAATATTCACTTAAATATGTACTTATTCACCTACAATATCCTGATGACGTTAGTTTCAAAACTAATTATGACGATGAAAAATGTTATAAATTTTGTTTTGTATTTATTTTTGCAAAAACTATTTTGATAAAAAGTAGAATTTTTCAGTAGTTTACGACTTATTGCTTGAATGAAACTATCATATAACACATCATGTATTGATAACTGTAATAGTATACACAGAATATATGTCCTTGATGAAGTATCATAAAATAATCGAATAATTTTATTCGATTATTTATTTTATATAATAAAAAAGTATAAATAATTTAAATTTAAAATCAATTCAATTTTGCTCGGTTTCAATGTATTTTAAATTTAAATTACTATTAATTTAATTTACAAATATATTTAATTAAAATTAAATATAGATTGACGCTCCTAAAAGTATCATTATATTTCTATAGAAAAACAGCTGGATGTTTTATTTTTATTCTAATCTTTCTAATCTGAGCACGTGAAGAAAATTTTTTTTCTTCATAAAAGTGAATCTTCAACGTGCACTATTTCGATTTCTTCGATTTATCTTACCTGAATAATGAATGCAGTATACATGCCTGTACTTCGATATAAATACATGCATAAAGATGACGCAGAAAACAAAAGAACGATAGGGTTCACTTAGGACACATTGGAGTAAAACCATACAACACGTGGTAACACGAGAAATAAGAGATGTTCGAAAAGAGGGGAGAGAGTAGACCATATGATGGAAAAAAAAGAACGATACTGCTCAGAACTGTTTATATTTAGACAAATTCCGTCACTGAAGAAAAATTGCTCTACTCGTCTGCACCTAATATATAACTGTCAATTTTTTATTTTTTAAATAGGAATAAAAGATGAATATTTTCATTTAAAGTAGAAACCAAGGTTAAAATTTTATTCACTCAACGGAAGGGAAGGTCATGTAAAATAGAATAAGTTTGCGCATGTGAGTATGTTTGCTTGCACGTGTGAAATCACGTTTTCACATTTGTGAGTACTATATAGGTAGCAAGTTAGCAATTTTTTTTTTTTTTTTTTTTAATACGCGTTTATTATTATTACTCTCGGAAGCGCTTACATGGGGGATTTTAAACATTCTTTAACAGCATAAATACAGTTTTAAGCATAAGTATAAATATGCAAGCTTGCCTGTTCTGAGCAAAATGTTATGAAATCGTATCATATAGGGGGATGTATTGCAGGAAAAAAAGAAAGAGAAAGAGAAAGAAGAAAAAAAAGGATAAAGATGGAGCAAGGCGAAATAGAGAAAGAAAGAACAAAAAAAAACTGCTGATATAGATGAGAGATACAATCATAACACGCCTATATACCTATTATACATATTCAATCCATTTTATTAAAAAAACTTCATGTCTCTCTTTTAAATTTTTCACTCGTTTCATTCGGAATAGATGACCCAGGTGATCTCCTTTTCTTTTTTTAAACTCATCCCAATAAAATATATCATTATAAAAGAAGGATTTTTCTAAATCAGATTTGTGCATTTGTTTTAGTCTTTTCGCTATGTATTTTTTAACATAAAAATCTAGTGTTTTCTTTTATTGTTTCGAATAGAGTGTGCTCCGGTACATACTGACATCGATGCACCAACCTCATTCCTACCCGAAATTTGCGCCTCAGAGTTTCTTGCTGCGTTTTGGGTAGAAGTGGAAAAAAAGGAAACAGCCAAGCGAAATACGGAAAACTATAAGCGAAGAACCATGTTCTCAACACTGCTGTGTTTAATGTGTTGCTTGCTCTTAACCATTTCAATTTTATGAAAGATTTCTGTATGCTCTCTACACATTTATCGATAGTTGGTTTCAAGGACAGCTTACTTGTCCTAGTAAAACCCAAATATTTAAAGGATTTAACACCTTCGATCTTCTGTCCGTCCATCGTGATATTTATTTGTGGCATTGTAACTTGTGAGAAAAAGATGTGTGCTACTGTTTTGCTAACATTTATCGGTTGCTTCCATTTCCGTGAGTACGCTGAGATCTGATTGCATACTTTAGTCCATTCTTTCTCTAGATATCCTATCATAGGTGCAAAATTTTTCGATATTGGGGGTCGGATGAGTACGTTGAGGTCGTCTGCAAAAAGGTGAGCCGAATGTGCTCCAAGAACTGCAGTCAGATCACTATGAAAGACGTTAAAGAGATACGGACTTGAACTACTGCCTTGTGGAAGACCCGAAAAAATTCTAAATCTATTCGAACTTTGCTCTCCGAAGACAACATATGCTTGTCTATCGTTCAACCATGATATACAAAATTTGAGCAAGCCATGAGGCATACCTAAGCGATTCAGTTTAACTATAAGTGCTGCATGCCAGACTTTGTCATAGGCTTTCTGATAGTCAACGTATATGGCTATCGTTGGTATATTGGCTGCCATATTATTATCTACTTCTTGATATATAGAGAGTACTCTTGTGGGGAGAAGACATCCAGGACAAAACCCTGATTTTTCTGATGGAATTAATTGATTCGTTTCTGCCCAATATCGTACTTTTTCCAATATTATTTTTTCAAAGAGTTTCGAATGTGTTGCAAGGAGCGATATAGGTCTAGTTTGATCACAGCGCGGAACACCTGTTTTTAATTTATTTAATGTTACTATTTTAGCTAATTTCCACTGCTCTGGATATCTACCTTCTTTTATCCATACATTAAAACAGTTTGTCAAACATGTAATGCAGCTCGATGGAAGCAATTTAATCATAAAGTTCGATATTTGATCAAAACCTGATGACTTTTTTGGTTTAAGCTTTTTTATAAATTTTGTTATTTCAAAGGCGCTAGTGAGTTCTACTGTTTCCTCTGAGATACTTAATTCATTTAATAATATTCTATGCTCTTCTTCAATTTTCATATCATTTGGATCGTCTTTTTTTATTTCCGTTTTTTTGAACTGGTTTTCATAGTATGAAAAAAGTGTATCAACTATTTCCTTTTTGTCTGATATTACGGATTTTCCACTGTCTAGCTTTGAAAATGGCAAGCTTCTGGATTTCTATACACGGAACAATTGAGACCAGAAGGCTTTTTCTGGTCGATCATATTTATCTCTGATTGTTGACAAGAAGGATTGCCAGCAAGACGATTTATGTATTGCAATTTCTCGCCTAACTTCACGATTCATCACTCTTAACAAAACACGTGTCTCTTCATTTTGACAACCACTCTTTCTCTCTGTGTAATATTTATTTCTTATTCTTCTAAGCTTTTTTAGTTTATCTATTATGAGAGGTAGTAGTGATGGTCGGTATTTTTCTTTTTTCTTCCATACAGTTACTCTGTTTCTTAATGCCGCTAGAAATCGAGTGTAGTTATTGTACCACTCATCCACTGATGTTATAATTTGCTCTTTGATCCAAAAATCTTGAAGAAGTGCCAGCATTCCCTCAAAAATATGCCACCTAACATGAGGGAAAAAATTTCTGATTTCATATCCTATGCTCTCACACGTCATTACAATAGGCCAATGATCACTGGTACCAAAAAACATCGTTGTAGCATTAATTCCATCAATGTTTGAGAAAGTGAGATCGATATTTCTCATGGAGCGTTTTGATGAGTGTGAAGAAGAAGGAATGTATGTAAGATTATTTTTTTCTATCC